CCCCTGTGTTGCCTTGCTCCACGACTACATTATGGGTTTCTCTCTCTAGGTTTTGCTAGAAATGGGTTCAAGATCATTGCTCTAGGGAGGCTTTTTCTGTATACAAGCTTTGTCTTTTGGGTTTTGAAGAGAGAGGGGGATTTTTTATGAGGAAAGATTGCTGAGAATTTGAGTATGATGCTCTCTGTCTAGCCTTACGTTGCTGAAATTTGGGTTTTTTTTTATAATTTGAGTATGCTCGCTCTCTCTCTCTTTCTCTCTATCTCGTTCTCTAACTTTAGGCTGCTGAAAATTGGGTTGTTTTGGGATGCAATAGATAGAGCACAACAATGTTGTTCAAAACAGATTGGAGAAGGAATTTGAACAGGCCTATCCGAACAATGTAAGTGTGTCTTTTCCGTCGATCAGCTTCTTTACTTGATTGTATCTATGTTTGGTTGTGGATTAGGGTTTTGGGTGACATTTCTTTTGAAGTGGTCAAAGGCATGATCAATAGGAAGCACTTTTAAGGCTTTAGTTGTAATCTCGCACTCTCTCTTGAAGTAAACAATTCTAGTAGAAAATATAGTATTGAACGATAGAGAATTTGAAAGAAATCCAGAGAGGGATTACGTTGGTGAGAAAATCGTAGAGGATCTATAGCATGGTGTTAGAGATGACTCATTCTTTAGTTACGGTTGATCAAGAGGTGTGAAATGAGGGCCTTTTGTTGATCAAAAACTCTGTGGTGGGTTCTTTCTCGCCTCCTTCCAATGACATTTTTGGTATTCGAAATTGGGCCAAAAGAGGGTGGTCTCTCAACTATGTTCCAGAGGTAAAGATCATTTGTGAGAATAAAATGTTTTCAGGCTTCATTCTGAGGTGGATGTTTGTCAAGCTTTCCGTGTTATATTTCCCAGAGTCCGAGGTAAACTTCTTTTTTTGGATATGTGGAAACCTCTGATCATTCGTCCTTTGCTCAGAAAGTTTGTACATGGGTGAGACTTTGGGGTATTCCTTTTAATGTGTGGAAACTGTCTGTTATCAAAAGTATTGCTAATAGTTGTGGTGAATGTTGCGACTTGGATTGGACGTCCTTTGTAAGGGCTGACCGACGCTCTGTCAGGGTTAAGGTTTAAATGGCATTGGGTCAGCCTCTACCACTATCTGTTCAGCTCCAGGTGGGGAAGGATACTTTTGTTATTAAAGTGGTGGCTGATGATGGGTTGGTTCGGTCTTACACTGGAAAAGAGGTTTGGCCTTCAGATATCGTAGTGGAGGGATTGAAGACAAGGTTAGTGGCGAAAGTTGTGAAGTCCTGATTAAGTTGTAATGGTAGAGATGCTCAGCACAAAGAAACTACTTAAAATCTGCAAATTGTTGGGAATCTCGATGGCCGTTGCCAGAATCAACGCTAGAGGCAGCGCTTCAAAAAGAAGAAGAAGAGCGGCAAGATTTTGAATTTGCCTATTTCAAATTTGAAAAGGAAATGGGTGCCGGTTGGATTTTATCGAGATTTTACTGCTGATTATTCTAGGGAGTTGTCATGCATTGAGACTATGAGTGTTAATACTTCGGGAGTGGTACCTGCCTCGAGTCCACCTATCGCGATAGCTGGTACCATTTCTAAGATGCTTGATGGACCGCTTCTTGGGGAGGAACCAGCTGATGTTAAGGGTAAGGCGGTTCCCACACAAAATTCAAATTTTGATATTATAAAAGCTGGGTTTACAAATTTAGGTGGTCTCGTGGGTTCACCAATTTCATGGGTTGTTAGTTGTAAATCTAAAGGTTTAAACGACGGTGTTGTTTTGCTAGATGGGATGAGTGGGGATACCATGGATGGTAGCACTTCTTTGCACATGGCACTTTCCCCGAGTCCCAAGGTAAATCTCCATGATGACCTGCCTTTGGAAAGTGATAGCGAGATTTTTGCAGTGGATGTTCAGCAACTACATTTTTCCAAATTTAACAAGGAGTCTTGTTGGAAGCCGGTGGAGGAAAAAATGTTTTTTTGTTGGAGTCTCATTTTTCTCTTCTTGGCAAAGAAATGAGTACTGCTGGATCTGGTTCTCAAAGTCTGGGTTGTCGTGTAGGTTTTTAGGCAAAAGAAAACCATGTATCCCTTGCTTTATCAGTGTGCTGCTATTAAGGGTCAACCTCCCAAGGCTAGAGTGAGGTTTAATTCGCTTGTCATTGACCCTCTTGCTGTGAAGGTGGTTGTTTCTGACGAAGAGGATCTGGCTTTGGCTTTTGGGGACTAGAAGTTGCCTGCGCAAATTGAGGGGGATCAGGAAGATGATAGTTCTTTTGACCCGAATACCGGGTTGGCTTTTTCTGATGCTGTAGACCCTTTGAGCGCTATTCCCCATTTGGAGGTGTACTGATGTTGTAGACCATTTGAGAGTTATTCCCCATTTGGAGGTGTCCCCTCTGCGGCTTTTGGGGGGACCATGTAGACCCTTTGAGAGTTATTCCCCATTTGAGGGCGTCCCCTCTACGGCTTTTGGGGGGACCATCTATAACATAATGTTGTAGTCCCTTTGAGGGTTATTCCCCATTTGGAGGCGTCTCCTCTGCGGCTTTTGGGGGGACCATGTAGACCCTTTGAGAGTTCTTCCCCATTTGGAGGCATCCCCTCTGCGGATTTTGGGGGGACCTTCGAGAGTTATTCCCCATTTGGAGGCGTCCCCTCTGCTGCTTTTGGGGGGACCATCTATAACTGATGACTTTGTATAAGAAGTTTAGATTTTTGAGTCTGATTTTGTTGATGTTGACACTAAAGAACCAAGGTTTTTTAGTCTGATTCTGTTGATGTTGACACTGAAAAATCGAAAGTTGCAGTCAGTGATTAGAAAATGGCCGAGTCATCACGGACTCGGCCGATTCGACACTGGAGAACCGAGTTTTTTGAGTCTGATTCTGTTGATTTTGACATTGAAGAACCGAAAGTTGCAGCTAGTGATTAAAAAATGGTTGAGTCATCACGGACTCTGCGGATTCGAAACGGGAATCGGTCACCCCATGTCGATTCTAGCGTAAAACCGCACATCACCCGTGTTTAGAAACAAATCTGACAAGTCGAACGACTTTCACGTCATGGACCAGTTCATTAACACGAGCAAACTAGCCGAGTCGAGCGTAGACACGTGAACGCGCACGCACATACACGTATGAACACACATGCAACAACGTCCATGGAACGCCTGCCTTCCACATGCGCTCAATGTAACGCCCTACCCGTGAACAATTTATAACTACAATACTTTTCCATAGGCTTCGATGTAGGATGCTTAACTAGGCGGTCTTGAGAAGCTAAAGCAATATATATATATTTTTTTTGTTATATGAAAGTAGTCAAATGCACTGTAGTGGTATGATGGGTAGCTCTTTCAATTTTCTTGATAGGGGTTTCGAACTGAAACCCCTCTCTACTGTAGTACATTTTTTGTTAAAAAAAAAAAGTTATCAAAATATTAAAAAAAGAAGTTATACGAAATAAAAAAAATTTATCTTGACAAAAAATAAAAAATTTATATTGACAAAAAAATAAAACTTATTTT